CTTTATAATGGTTTCATGATTGACTTACTGTTCCTAACTTAGAGGATTACTTCCTGAGTCCCAGATGACTCTAATAATAGTTCTTTAGGCTAAACAGCTTTGGATGAAAAATTTAGAAGTTACCATAATTTTGAAATGCAAAATATTCCAAATGTCTTTTAAAGAGAGAGAAAGTAAGAAATGTAGGGAGGGAAGGAAGGTAGGAAAAAGGAGAAGTGTAATGGATTAGAACATAAATAAAAAACTAACAAAAATTTTGGCAAACCCAAAGATTCTGAGCTTGAATGAAAAATTTCAACTAGAACCTAATAAAGACTCATCAGACTCAAACGGTGTCAAGCCAGTACGTATCTGTACTCAGATTTACTTCCCCCTCACTGCCTTCTGGTCGATTCTCACTCAGTTACCCAACAGGTCACAGGACATGGTAGAACTGCCCCAGCGGGTTTCTGAGACTCTAAACCTTTACATAAGTAGAAAGTCTCATCCTTCTCCCATACTCAGATATATAACGAAAACTAAGAGACAATTCATGATACAGGTTATGGTCATTTACATAACTATACCTATATACTGTATTTTTATGTAAATAATACACACATTAAACATGTTAAATGCCCGCACAAGCTACTTACGTGGGCACACATGAGAAAATACGGTATGCGAGTACAAGCTATACATATGGAGCCACCTAGGCTCTCCAGTCAGTCCTTTGTGGTCTCTTCTGTGGCCAGGATTGGGTGGTTCCGAATGGTTACAAGTGGTTACCTACTGGGCTGCTGACTCCAAGGACAGCCACTGGACACCACCAGCCACTCCTCGGGAGAAAGGAAAGGCTTTCTACTGCTGTCAGGAGTTAGTCTTGGGAGCCCAGACAGGCAGTTCTACCCTGTCTGTGGGGTCCTTAGGAGTTGAACGGACTCGAGGGCAGCGAGTTTGGTTTTGGTTTGGTGGTTTTGTCACTACAGAAAGCACTATGACGCTTCTCAGCATCGCTGGTTGATAAACACTCTCCACCGCTCTCTAATTTACAAAGCCACTTGTATTCTATCTGAAGTTTCCAAAGGCGTCCTGATGGGGCTGTAGGTTGGGGGACTGGGCTGTTAAAGACAAAGGTGGCAGCTCAAACCCGCCAATCTTTTTGCAGAAGTACGATGAGGCAGGCTTTTGCTTTAGAGATCTCATCTTTTAAAGCCTGTATCATGTTGCTATGAGTTGGAATTGACTCTGACAGTGGGCTTGGTGTTGGGTTAAAGTCATGTGCAGACATTAATAATGATGGGAATTCATTTGTCCTGGATACAATTATAGGAATTTTAGTTCTGGAAATATGACACTAAATATACTATAGTGGGAAATAGGATGTGCTAAGATTGTGGCCTTCAGTATTGATTTCAACCCAATGTAAAGAAAACCCAAATCCTTACAATTAGACCAACAGGTAACATCAGGATAAATGGAGAAAAGGTTGAAATTTTCAAGGATTTTGTCTTGCTTGGATCCACAATCAATGTTCATAAAAGCAGCAGTCAAGAGCTCACAAGACCTCATTAGAGTATTAAAAAACAAGGTTGTTACTTTGAGGACTAAGGTAGGCTTGACTCAAGCCATGCTATTTTTCATAGCCTCATAAGCATATGAAAGTTGGATATTGAATCAGGAAGATCAAAGAAGAATCGATACAATTGAATTGTGGTGATGGAGTAGAATATTCAAAGTACCACTGACTGCTAAAAGGGCAAACCAATCTGTCTTGGAAGAAGTACAGCCAGAATACTCCTTAGTTTGGCGAGATGAAGAAGGCCCCTCAATGAGATGACTGACACAATGGCTGCAACAATGTGAGGAGAGCACAGGATTGGGCAGTGTTTCATTCTGTTGTGCATAAGGTCGCTATGGGTCAGAACTAACTCCATGGTACCTAACAACAAGAAGATTAAACTAATAAAATTAATCAGCAAATAAAATACTTCTCATCAGCAGCAATCACAATGCACTTCCTTAACAGAATTCACTCACTGCACTGAGTCAATTCCTAGTGATGGCGGCCCTATAGACATAGCAGAACTGCCCTTGTGGGTTTCTGAGACTAAGTCTTCAAGGAACACAAACCCCTCATCTTTAGCAACCCCTCACCCTTCATCTTTGCTGCTGTTGTCAGTTGCCATTGAGCTGGTCCTGTATCATAGTAACCCTACACGCAGTAGAATAAAACACTATCCAGTTCTGCACCAACCTCACAATCATTGTCATGCTTACAGCTACTGTCAATTCATCTGGTGGATGGTCTTGCTCTTTTTTGCTGCCCTTCCACTTTACCCTGGGATGATGTCCTTTTCCAGGGATTGGTCTCTCTGATAACATGTCCAAACTACGTGTGACAAAGCCTTGCCATCTTCGCTTCTAAGGGCCATTGTGTTTGTACTAAGAGAGATTTGTTAGTTCTTCTGGCAGTTTGTGGTACTTTCACTATTCTTCACCAACACCATAATTACAATGAAACTTATAGATAGCTAGAAATTATAAGTCTTCTGTGGTCACGATTCCTTATGTTAAACAGAATCACATGTATCTACTTAAACTTTTATTTACTATATTAAGAATACAGTCACAGCTGGAAGAATGGGAAAAAAGGTGATTTCCATAATAGCAAGCTGAAACAGTTGTTACCAGGGCAAACACTGTTAGTGAACCACCTACTGTACTATCAGACTTTTGACTTTCACAGTTGGCAGGCTCTTCCTGAGTCTCACAAAGAGGACTTCAGGTCCATTAATTCAGATACTGCAAACAAAGTAAGAACTAGAAATGATCCCTCGACAGGAGACTGAATGAGGGTATTATTACCTATCTTTAAATTTAGAATGATCCTATAGAAGCTCTTCCTTCTTTGAGATCTGTTTCTTTCCCAATTCTTATCTCAAAACTTTGTTTATGCTTGCTATGGATTTTATGCCTGCTACCCCTACCCCCTAACCCCTCCTCCCCCATAGTACGTGTTGGAATCCCAGCCTCTATATCTATGGACATAATGAAATATACTCCAAACGCTTCCGTAATGCAATGTTACTGAGGCCAGATCCATGTAGGCTGTGTGCTACACCCAAGTTATAAAAGGAACAGGTAGAGGCAGGCAAGCACAAACACAGAAGATAGATGCCATCTGAAGACTGTCAAGGGACTGAGAAACACTGGGGCTACAGAAGCTGAGAGACACACACAGATCTTTCCCTGGAGCCAACAAACCAAAAGCCTGCCCTTTTCACTGCTGCCCTCAATTCAGACTTCTAGCTTCCTGGACTATGAGAAAGCACATTCTGCCCTTTGAGGCCACCCACTCCGGTTATTTCTGTTACAGCAGCCCCAAGCAACCAAGGCGATGCTCATCCTGGCATTTTAAATATATATTTTTAATTTAAAAATAATAAATAAATAAATACATATTTCTTGTTTATTCATTCTCCTCACTAGGTTACATATTCCCTCTGTCATGTCCCATCTTTCCAGAAACCAAATCCTTTTTTGTTGTGTTTTTAAAATGTTTTCTCTAATGAGTTGCAATCTTAAGAGAAAGCATGTATAAATCCAAGAAAGGTAGCTGCATTCTCCTTAGCTATAGTAATGGAGAGGTAACTATGATGCACACAATCAGGAATTACTGTGTCCTGAAGGGCTCTTTCCACCACATAAAGCACTGTTTTACTGAACCAGGCACACATTCTTCACTTAGTTGGAATCAAAATCTAATTGTGACCAGATCCCTTCTTTACAGCAGCAATTTCACCCATTTTCAAGAACATACACATTGATGAATTCCTTGTCATAAGTGTTTTACTTCTCAAGTTCAAAGATCAAGCATAAAACAAGGGCACACTAGCAAACCAAAAGTCGTCTATTTGATTCCGACTTATAGTGGGGCTACCTACAGGGCAGAGTACCTCTTCTGTGCGTTCCAGGACAAAAAAGGCAGCCTCATCTTCTTTCCCCCAGAAAAGCTAGTGGGTTTGAACCACAGGCCTAGTGGTTAGCAACCCAACGCTTAGGCCACAGCGCCACTCGTGCTCCATATCTACCGGGCTAGGGAGATTTAATTCCATTCTATACAGCAAATCTCTTAACTCCCCCGTGTCCCCCTAGGTATTAAAAGTATGTCGTACAGCATTCATTTAGAACTGAGATGAGACTGGGCTAATTCTGAACTTTTGAAGGCCTATTTTTATTAGGATTGGGATTCCCTGTCCTTCCCTTTCCTCTGCTGCCCTGGGACCAGCGCTGTAGTTAGTACAGTTTGCAATGCATGATAGATTTCACATGGGTCACCCAACCTGAAAGATGGCCTGTTCTCCCATCTAACGCCCGCCCCTGAACTTCCCCGCAGGGATAGGCTAACGCAGCTCTAGGTGGCAACACAACTGGACGCAGCCGGTTGGTACAGAGCAGACAGATGGCTGTACTGGTGGCCTGAGCGTAGTCCGGGTACGGCCCTTTGCAGATACAGGAAAACCCAAACCAAACCCGTCGCGTGGATTCTGACACAGCGATCCTGCAGGAACCTTATTCATTTCCAGGCTGGCTAGGCGGCAAGGGGCGGCAGTCGTTCCCACCGCCACAGGCTCCGCTTACACTCAACCACCCCTCCCTCGCACCCACGGCGCTGTGCTTTACAAAATGCTTCCAGGATGCGCGTCGCTGGCGTAGGGGCCACCTCTCAGGTGAGGACAGGATCTTGTCCACAGACCCAGTTTCGTCCTGGAATTATTTTCTGGAGGGCCCCAGGGCTGCCCTCTCCCCGGAGCCCGGCAGGAGCGTCCTGGCGGAGGGCAGAGCGGGTGTGAAGCCCAGCTGGGAGGCAGGTAGGGCTCATGGCTTCTAAGCAGCGGCCAGCGACACAGGCCCAGCGACGACGGCCGCTCGGCACTTCCAGGGTCCCCACCGTCGCCGCCTTAGCACGGCCCCCGACTGGAGACCCTACAATGTCGCAAGCCCTCCCTCAAACTCACCTTCCGATCTCTCCAGACAGCATCTGGACGGAGCCGAGGACCTCCGCGTCCACCACGACCCTCCAGGTGGTGGGGTCCACGGTCCGAAACGCCAGCGGGAGCGGTCAGCAGCAGGCCTGCGGGCTCCCGGGAAAGGAAAACCCGTCCCCAGTCAATAGGCTGACATTCCCAGTCAGCTGCAGCGCCGCCCGCTTCCGCTTCTCCGCCCTCGTGGGTGGGTCGGCGTATTCCGCAGCCGCGGGGGGTTGTGGGTATCGCGGAGGCCGGTCCCGCCGGGAACGGAAGTAGGGAGCGAAACAGCCTGACTTCGCGAAGTGTAAGAACTACACTTCCCAGCAGGCAGCGGGCCCTCAGACCTCGTCCGCCAAATCGAGCGGGCAGAAGAGCCTCGCGCGCGCGCTAAGACGATGGAACGTTGCTAGAGTTCGCGGGTCTTGCCGCGCGGGGCCAGCACTCAGTGGCCGGAGCTGTGCGCGCGCCAAGGCGGGAATTCCAAAGCTAGCAGCTCTGCAATTAATGCACATCTTTTAAACGCCCGAACTGGTGGACGCCATGCACAGGTAAACCTATTGTAAAAACGTGCAGCGTATGAATGAACCGTCTTATTTTAGGCCGTGAGCACTGCTGCTTGCTAATACTGTTACTATTGCTGTTATTAGGGGAATGGCTGCTTAGCTCCTTCTTTGGAAAAATGTGGATGGATGCTTTAGTGCGGCGATCTGCGTGCCGTTTTACTTGGCTTTCCTTATAGGGTTTTCCTGCTGGGATTTCCAATCACGGGATGGTTACCCCCCCCACCGCACCCCCACCCCCATCCGTCCCATCCACAGTAAGAAGTTGGTGAGGCCTGCCTGCGTGATGGTAAATCAAAAGCCATTCTCATTGGCTCCCTTATTTTCTTGGAAATTCGCAGCTGGCCTATACAAATGCAATTTAATTAACCACCGTGAAAGTTTAATGCTTTCTACAGTGCATAAATGACAACTTGTTTTACGTGCTGGCTTGCGAACCTCGAAGTCAGCAGTTCGAAACCACCTGCCCCCCAGCGGTGAGGCATTCTACTCTTGTAAAGAGTTACAGCCTTGGAAACCCACAGGAGCAGTTCTCCCCTGCTCTACTAGGTCACCGTGAGTCGGAATGGACTCGATGGCAGTCGACTGGTGTGGTTTTGGCATTATTTAGGAGCCCCGGTGGCGCAAGTTTTGTGAAGCTCTTGGTCATGTCGGAACCCACCTGACTTTTTGGGAGAAACAAGTGTCAATCTGCCACAGCCTTGGTAGATTTACAGCCATGGGAACCCTCTAGGGCAGTTCTCTACCCTGCAGAGGCTGGAGGGGTCAGATTATAACTGGAGGACCTTGGATTTGGTTGCCTTGTTTGGCATTATTTAAGGGTAGGGTCTTGAAAGGAACTAGAGTATTGTACATTTCTGCAGGAAACACCTCCAGGAAATTCCTGACCAGAGTAGCAACGTCAGCACCAGCTTCACGTGGGGATGGGATTCTGGCAAGACTTCGGAACTGCTGTCAGGCATGGGGGTCTCTACCCTGGAGAAAGAGGAAGTGGACAGTGAGAATATTCCCCAAGAGCTGCTCTCCAGCCTGAGTAACCCACAGAGCCCCCCACGAAAGCGGCTGAAAAGCAAAGCCAGTGACAAGGACTTTGTGATTGCCCGCAGACCCAAGCTCAATCGCGAGAGCATTCCAGGTAAGATGCACAGGTAAAACTGACAGTCACCCAAGGGGAGCGAGCGTTCAACTCATGGGTCTGGGAACCCAGGGATCATTGGGAAGATTCCCCTTTCAGTCGCCTAATTCAGAAGTTGAATGGACACAGTGGCTGCAACAGTGGGCTCAGGCAGCGCGACTGTGAACATGGTGCAGGGCCCAGGCATGTTTTATTCTGTTGGACATAGGATTGCTATGAGTTAGAACTGACTGGATGGTACCTAAAAGCAACAATTCTGAAATTACTTTCTGACGGGATGGAGCGAGTAATTGTCTTGGGAGTCAGCAGGAATCTTGGTATAGGAATCTATGTCTGGTGTATAATTAACTTGGAAAGCTCAACCCTTGACAGGACATTATAGGACATTTCTGCCCTTTTACAGGGGAGCTTATCTGCCTGCTGGCAGGCATGGAGGAGCCAGCCCACTTAGAGTCACTGATAAGATGGAGCATAAACAGGATCTTCCAGGATTCCTTTTCCCCAGGATTCCTTTTCCGGAAAGCTCTGGGTGAGCTTTTTGCTCAAAGCCCTTTAGGTGTTTGTTGCTAAAGTATTTGAGTTTAAAGGGAGGAATCTTACCTCTCCAGCCCATCCTCAAATTGGATTTCTCAGGTGCTACCACCACTGTTTATTATTTAGTCAAAGACTTCAGCGTTAGTCTAGATCCCCAGTCAATCATTCTGTATTCCAGTTTTCGTCTCCCAAATATTTTTTAAGCTCTCACCATCTCTTGCCTGCCCCTGGGTTGCCAAATGAGATTTGCTCCTAAGTGTGTCTTTAAGTTGGATTTTTAGGGAAGTTGGAACATATTATTTTGTAGCCTGATTTCAGTGCAGGCTTAAGAGCCCTGGTGGCGCAGGGAGGTGAGCAGTGGGCTGCTAGCTAAGAAGTCAGCCCCCCAGTCACCCCAAGGGAGAAAGATGAGACAGTGTGCTTCTGGGAAGATGTCCAGTCTTCTGCACCTTATGGAGCAGTTCAACTGTCTTATGGGGTTGCTAGTTCAACTCTCTTACAGGCTTGCTGTGAGTCAGCATCAAAGCGCCTGCAATGGGTTTTGTTTGATTTTAGTGTAAGAAAAGACCAAAAGTCCTCTACGATTTAAGAGCTGCACAATAACATTAAAAGATGAGTATTGAGTTGTGGGATGGGGCTCTCATCCAGGAATTTTAACCTGTCAGGAGTTGGGCTACCAACTGCAAGGTCAGTAGTTCAAAACTATCAGCTGATCTGAGGGAGAAAGGTCAAGCTTTCCACGCCCTCAGGGAGTTACAGTCTCGGAAACACGCAGGGCCAGTGGATCACTGTGAACCGGCGTGGACCTGATGGCAGTGAGGTTTTTAAAAAGATCTCTGCAGGAGCAGATTCCCAGGTCTTTTTCCCACAGAGCCGCTGGGTGGGTTCAAACCACCAACTTTTATTTCTAGCAAAAGAGCACTTAACCATTGCTCCACAGCTCTCCTTATCATTCACCTTCCACTAGCTCTCTATCCCCTAGACCAGCGGTTCGCAACCTATGGGTCACGACCCCTTTGGGGGTCGAATGACCCTTTCACAGGGGTTACCCGATTCATAATAGTAGCAAAACGACAGTTATGAAGTAGCAGTGAAAATAATTTTATGGGTGGGGGTCACCACAACATGAAGAACTGTATTAAAGGGTCGCGGCATTAGGAAGGTTGAGAACCACTGCCCTAGACGATCAGTCTTTCCACGTGGGAAAATAAGGGCTTCCAAGAATGCATGGGTCCCTAGGGAGGATAAGCATAGTGCATTTACCGACCTAAGGGTAGCAATTTTTCTTGCTAGTAAATGAGAACATTAATTCATTCTGCATATAAGGAGACTTCAAAAAGTTCATGGAAAAAAGGGATGAACCGGTGATGGGATTTTTTTTCCCATGGACAATTTGAAGCTCCCTCATGTATTCACTGAACACGTTCTAATGTGCCTGGTCTTGTCTTGGGTGTTGGAGATGCACTGCTGAAGCTTCATACCCTCACAGGGCTTCTGTTCTCCCTTCACGAGACACTCAGGAAACATATGCTTTGTAGCTCAGTACCCAGACCCACTGCACCAAATCGATTCCAGCTCATAGTGACTCTATATAGGGTTTCCAAGACTGAATCTTTACAGGAGCCTTATCTGTCTCCTTGCAAAGTGGCTAGTGGGTTTGAACCACTGTCCTGTGGGTTAGCAGTCCAAGGCTTACCCAACAGCGCCACCAGACCTTCTTATGTAATATCTCCGATAGCTAAAAACAAACAAATCAAGCCGAGAGGTGTTAGCTGTGTTGGGGTAGGAAGATGGATGATACGTAGTGGGTTATAAGCTGGGCTGCAACCAACCACACAGGGCAGCAGTTTGAACTTGGCAGCCGCTCACCAGAGAAAGAGTAGGTTTTCTGCTCTGGTGAAGACTTCCTGTATGAGGAGCCCATAGGGGAAATTCTACTCTGTTCATAGGGTCACTACGAGTCAGAATATCCTGGACGGCCGTGAGTTTGGTTTTTTCTGGTTGAGTTGAGGAAGGGGTGGCCTTGGAGCCAGCGCTTAGAGAAGGTGAAGAAGTGGGCTACGTTCATATCTTCAGAGAGCCCCAGGCAGAGAGAAGGCCTGTACAGACAGCCTGGGCTGAACTGTACCCGGTTTTTTAAAAAAAATAAAGGAAAGAGTAAAGGGTAGGGTCATGAGAGATGAGGTGCTAGGAAATGCTGCCATGCGGCCCTGCTTCATCGTTTAAAGGGGCACCCTGATATGTGTGGAAACAGCTGCAGGAGGAAGCGAGTAGATAATTGGAGTCTTGTTAAGAGGCATGGGAGTGGTGATAAGCAGTGGTTAGATTCTAGATATATCCTGAAGTTCCAGTCAACAGAATTTAAATGCTGTTGACATTGTCTTCAGAAGGAGGTTCAGCTTCACTCACTGTCATCTGATCCATGCTGACTCATACCGACCCTAGAAGGCAGGGTAGAACTGCCCCCTGTGAGTTTCCGAGACTACCTCTTTGTGGGCATAGAAAGCCCCATCTTTCTCCTGTGTGTCGGCTGGTGGTTTCGAACTGCTAACCTTGCAGATCACAGTCTAACGCTCAACCACTACACCACCAGGGCTCCTCTAGAAGGTGGTGGGATGGGGACAATAGTGGACAGGCTCAAAAAAAGGTTGAGAGCCAAGGAATTAGGTGCATAAATATTTCCCCAAAATTTTGGTCTGGCTTTCTTGGAAGGCTTGGTTAAGGATACGTTTGTTTGTTTGCTTAAGCTCTCGTTTTCTTGAAAGGCAGTCCAGGGTTATGGTGGCGACCATGGAGTTTCAAGTCAGTTGAATCTGGGTTTGAAATCCTTCTCTGCTGCGTGCCATGCATGTTGAGAAAGGGTGTGAGCTCTCCTTGCCTCACTTCTTCCTCAGTGAGGATTAAATGAGAGCATGGGTGGTAAAGTCTGGCGCATAGGGCCCAGCGTGAAATAAACAATCAGTGCAGCCAATTTCTATCGATCTGTTAACTTGCTGACACCCATTGCAGGGGCTAGTTCACTCCGTCTTTTGTTCTTTTTAAATTTTATTTATTTATTTATTTATTTTTCCTAACCCTAACCCTACCGTCTTTTGTTCTTAATACTGTTGGTTAGGCCCTGTTAGTGTGGGGTTTTTAAAAAAGAAAATTGTTTTTTTCATCATCTAATTCCACTGCTCGTTTAGTGTCAGGAATGCAGCACGAGCCATTTGGTGCTTGACCAGCCACGTGTAAAAGATGCTTTTTGTAAAAAAAACCTTTTAGTGTGGTTTAGGTGAATGTTTATGGAGGGAATTGGTTTTCTGCACCACAGTTCATACACCCTTTGATTAGTGGTATGAATTGTGATCCCTACCACGTAACAGTGCCCTTCCCACTTCCTGTGCTGTCCAGTCCATTCAGCCATTTCTTTGTGTCCCTTCCTGCCTCCAAGCGTCATGCCTGAGCACACACTGCCCTTCTGATCCCTGGACTGAGTTGGACTGAGGAGCGCCGGCTCCCTTGGTGTTTTTGTTCACTTTCTGTGCTGACTTGTTGTTCAGCTGAAGATGCTTCCTTTATAAGATGAGCAGGGCTAAAGGCAATCATCCAGGAACAGTTGCTCTTGATGTCCTGTGATTGTCTGTCTGTCTGTCTGTCCTTCTGCAGTCATAGCCTACAAAAAAAAAAACTAAGGCCCCCACCACCCCGGCAATTCTGCTGCAAGAGGAGGCTTCTGTGGCTATGAGTCTTGATGGGAGCAGACACCCTCAGCTTGCTCACTTGTGGAAAGGCTGGTGGGTTTAAACTGCCAACCTTGTAGTTAGGAGTCTAATGCCTAACCCACAACACCACCAGGGCTCCTTACATCCCTATACCCAACCAAGTCAAACTCATTGCCGTTGACTCATGGCCACCTTACAGGACAGTAGAACTCCCCCTGTAGGTCATTCACATGCAAGCAGGCACAAATTTAGAAACCATGACATTTCTTAAGGCACGATGGGAAACCCATCAGAAGTTTTAAGGAGATGTGCCTGTCTTCTAGGCATTGCAATAATAACCCAAGTCAAGGTGATGAAAAATAACACGCTTACAAAAAGACCTAGTGGGTCACACGCTAACAGCAGACGAATAGCGCAGGTACGGAGCACTGAGGCCAGAGGGAAGCCGGCTATTGGATATAACTCTCAGAACATCAGCTTCACTTAGAACAGAGCGTTCTTGTGTCTCTCTGTGTGAATGTGGAAGACAGACACCAGTCACACCCCATGTCAAGAACTGTTGGTTAAAACAAAATCACTGCTCTTGGGAAGAAGAGATGGGTCTGGAAATGACCAGTCAGTGAGGCTGGAGGGCTAACCCTGACATCAAAAACGTGCCTGAAGTGCGAGAAGAAAACGACTGGCCTTCATTCATGCTTCTTGAGCTGCGAGACGCTACCAGTTCGTGTTGGTACACGTCTGATTACACAAGCTCTGGTTTGG